TGAACTCAGAAATCCGCCTGCCTCTGCCTCCCAAGTGCTGGAGTTAAAGGTGTGTGCCACCACTGCCCGGCTTGGGCAATTGTTTTTGACAAAGGGATTTTAAAGCCACATCTGGGTGTCCTTTAGGCTATGTCCATGATGGTTTGGGGAGAGACAGTCTGTCTTGGCTAGGATTCCACCTCTGCCAACCTGAACAATTTTCCTGCTTCCTCTTTGTGTCTCAATTTCTCTTGAGAAAGGAGGAGTGATGATAAGATCAGCTCTGTCAGGTCCTTGTGAGAGGCTTCACAAGTCCGTTCACAGAGTCTGGAGAATTGTGCCTGTCCAGGCGTAGCACACAGCGAATGCTAGCCATCGCACTGATTATTTCGAGCTGTGTTCGTGGGAATGAGAATGCAGAGTATCTGACACTGGGGCTCTCCCAGAAAAGCCCAGATGTGATGAATACCAAATGAGGATCACCAATTAAAAGCCCTGCATTGAGTCTGTTTCTTAGTGAGACAAGGTATAAAGAAACGCATGCTGCTCTGTAAGGAGGCCTGGAAAGAAGAAAGTGGCCAGGGGCAGTCCTCAGGAGTCCCCCACCCCCACACCCCACTGCCTGTGCTTCCTCTTGAAAAAGGACAGGAGGCAGATGAAGGGGCCTGGCAGGAAGCGTGAGCACCCCTGGGAACAGAGAGAGCTATGTTATAGTTATAGCGAGCTTCTTCAGTAACTGTGAAATCTCAGCTGGGGTTGGGGGTGGTCTATGGATGAGACTCGAACAAGAGATAATTTTGAATCTGTCCCTGCAATTCTCACTCTTTCTCAGATGCCATTTTCTCTACTACCTACAGGGTAGGTCTATATACAAATAAAGCAATGCAGACTTGGCGTGGGCAGTGGCTCGGCTAGCTCAGGACTACACCTGGGATGGGTGAGCAGGTCTGGGATTTGAACCCAGCACTGTGCATTACAAGTTCTCAGTTCCTGCTTTGACAGGACAGTAGATCTCTCCTCTGCAGAGGTGGGACTGGGAAGGCCAGAGGCCTCAGAGGGGACATTACGACTGTAGGGAACAGGAAGAGGTGGAGGGAGACCTGGTCCCAGGTGTGTGAGAGACCCAGAGCTGCTGGGCAGGCACATGGGAAAGAGCAGAAAGTAGGTCAGTCACACAGGAGACAGAGCATGAAATTAATGAGCACATGGGAGCTGGAGTAGTCACCTTCCAGGAGGGCAGTGAAGGAGGTGGGAAGTCCCTCTGGGAGAGATTGTGGGGCCTGAGGGGCTGGAGCAGGTGGGAAGAGGTTGGACCATAGGGTTTCTTTTCTAGTCCTGGGCATTTGGAGGGGGAGGGGTACATCAGTCTGGCAGGAGAAGGGAATGATGGTATCCTGAGGGGCACAGACTGAGGTGTCAGACATGAGCACTGTGGGAGCAGGGGCCATGCTTGCTCTTCAAATGCTAACATTCTTACTGCCCAGGACAATGCCTAGCACAGGATGGGCGTGCTGAGGGGATACAGGAGGAGAAGCCACTCTCCCTTGTACACTGCTGTATAGCTAAGGGTGGAGGCAGAGGAGAGGTCTCTGTTCCTTATTTGTGTTCAGAAGCATCAGCTGAGGTCAGTAACACCTGCTGAGTGGCTGCCAGGTGCCATCTCTGACCTGGTGTTGAACACAAGGGTTGTGTAAAATAGGGGCTTTCTTGTGAAACTCAGCATCTAATAGAAAAGCAGGCTGCAAATGACTTTAATATGTGCTAAGCACAGAAGTGGATGGCTGATGGGGACCAAGGGAAGGGTTGTTCTGTAACATTGCTCTGGGATTACTAGGGATATGGAGGCTCTCAAAGCTTAAGTGCATATACCAACACACACATGCACATGCACATGCACGTGCACATGCACGCATGTGCACACACATGCACAGACATGCACAGACACACACATACACACTCACATGTGCGCACACACACTTAAAAATATATGTCCAGGCATAGTGGTACATCCCTGTAGCCTTGGGTCTTGGGTAGTAGGAAAATAACAATTTCAGGTTCAGCCTTGGCTACATAGAGTTCAAGGCCAGCTTAGGCTATATAATAACACCTTGTCTCAAAACAAAACCAACTAAATACTATGTTTATTGACTCTGCTATGTCTTGTATATTGAATGTCTTCCAAAAGCCCATGTGTCAGAACCTTGGTCTTACACAGTGGTATTAGGAGGTAGTGTGGGTCCCTGAGGAGGGGGAGCCTAATGGGTGTTTCTTAGAGCATGGAAAGGCTGACTCCAAAGGGAATTGTGTGGTGCTGGCCCCTTTCTCTCCTCTGCTTTGGCTGCCTGGGTAGTGAGGTGAGTGATTTGGCTCTTGCACACACTCTTGTCATGCTGGACTTCCTGGACCCCCAGGCCTAAAGCAGTGGGGCTGATGAATTAGGATCAGAACTTCTAAAACAGTGAGCCAAAATAAACCTTTTATCCTCATGAGTTAAGTACCTCAGGTTGTTCTAGCCTCAGTAAGCTGTCAACTATGCTCCCTTCTTCCTTCCTACATGATGAAGCTATTTGGGTGTCAGGGTCTTCACCTTGAACTCTTGGATGAGGGAGAGGGTGGTTAAGTAGAAGTCTTCAATTCTGTGATGCCTTACCCTGGTGCCCCTCAGTTCCTTTAGGAATGTATCTCCTACAAGAGGGGCTGTTACAAGTGTCAAGTGGAACTGTGAAGACATTAGGACAGGATGCAGATCTGGTCAGGCTGCACTGGGGACAACAGTGGATATGATATGTTCCACAAGTGTTCACAACAGGGTTACAAGCAAGCAAATATGCCAAGCACTGCCCCACTCAGAATCCCCACTCAGAGACCTTGAGCATCTGCCTGGGTCTCAGATCAGGCTTACATGCTGCTACTTGGTTTGGACCCTGTGTCTGGGGTACCTTTGGTGGTTCTGGCTTGACCAGGTCACGGTAAGCAGAATTATCCTGATAAGCTGTGCCCTCTAGCCAGGCCCTTGCAATCAGAACTCTCCAACCTGAAGCACCCAGCTTGTCCATGACAATTCAGCCCTCAGTGTGGGCTTGCAAGCTTTTGGGGCAGGTCAGGGATCATGGTGCCAGTTTACAGATGAAAAGGAAGACTAAAGAGACTCACTAAGGCTAATCAAAGAGGGTGTATATGGAGAACTAAGCTTGTAGTTATGTCAGGCCAATCCCAAGGCATCTGAGAGGGGGTGTATAAAGGCATAGCAGGAGCTGGAAACTTCAGGAAGAAACAGAAACACATACACACAGTATGTGAGTCCTCCTTTCCTGGGGACACTTCTCACCTCCAACCCCAGATCTGTCAGCCTGTCAATGAGAAGGTTCTGTGAACTCTGATGGGTAAAGCCAGAGGGTTTTAAATCACAGGCCCAGAGCAAGGCAGACCCTGAGGCTTTCTAGTTTGGTCCACATCCATCAGTAAGCACTCAAGGATATAATTCCAGGTAGCACACTGGGCACTGTGTGTGTAAAGGAGACTCCAACATACGCACACATCCTGCTTTTCTAGAACTTGGTCTGGCTGGATTTTCTACCTTGTCACAACTGACATTTCAGGCGAGGTAATCCTTGAGGGATGCTGTGCAGCATAGGAGATGTTGTAGCATCTCTGGCATCTGCTATCTCTGGATAGTAACATCCTCCAGAGGTGGCAACCAAAGCTGTCTCCAGACATTGCCAAATGTCCCCTGGAAGCAAAACTCCCCTGGGACACACATGCTGACACAGTTTACTGAGAGCTGCATCAGAGATGGGCCCACAGGGAACAGTGGCTAAGAGGGGTAAAATCGGCCCCTCAAAATTGACCAGTGGAGATAGAGTTCACTTGCCTCAGACTGGGATTCAGTCCTAGATTCTCTATACCTGGCCCAAGTGCTCCCCTGCTCACACCTCCCCATGTCTCTCCAAATCCACCCACTGCCCTCAGCTCCCCCAGGAGGCCAGATTCTGCTCTGGGAAGCCAGCCCTGGTGCTTTGAGCAGCTGGTCTTCTCAGCCCTGGACTGGTCTCTTAGCCTGCCATAGAGTTGGTGCCTAATAAGCTTTCCTGCATGTTAGGAAAGGCTCCGTCTGTCCCCTGAGATGGCCCTCTGAAAGCAGACTGGGTGGCCACTTAAGTGCTGTGCTTATGCGAAGAACAATACTTCAGCAGAGTGCTTCGCTGTAAGTGCTTCCAGGTCCCCCACTCCATAGAAGCTGCAGCGTGGGAAGGAGATGGCTCTCTGGCGGCTGAGCCTACAGACTGGGCTCTCAGCAATACCCGGACCAGCTGTGGGCCCCTCTCCAGCCCTCAAGCCTGTGATGCTTCCACTTCATTATCTACAGGGGTGAGGGGCACTGCCATCCCTTCCCTTGTCTCCTAGTGCCCAGGGGACCAGTGAATGCTCAAAGGCAGGAGTTTCACAAATGAAGCATTTGCATGTTAACTGTTTTCTGAGTTTCCAAGGGCAGTCTGTAGGGTGGGTCAGCGTTCTGTTTTTACTTTCTTTTTAGAATTACTACTTGAATAGTCAACCACACACTTAATGAGTGTTACTCTGTGCTCAGAACTCAGCAATGCCACACTGAATGAAGGCAGGGCATGAACAAAAGTACATTCAAACAAAGCCAGGCAGGTGCTGAACTTCAGGTAGGGAAGGCCTCTCCAGAAGGTGACATTTAATTAAAACCCTGAGGGCAACCGGAGGAGGGTTACACAGAAGGTACTGCAAGCAGAGGCCAAAGCAAAAACTCCCCCTAGGGTCCGGAAGAGTGGTGAGGTGGCCAGTAGCAGTTGGGGGTATAGATGAGGGACAGTGGGTGGGAAGGAAGGATGGTGGGGAAGATGAAGGTCAGGGAGGAGGAGAGGAGGGGAGGGGAAAGTGGAGGAAGGGAGGGAGGCAAGAACGTTGGCTCTTGTCCTAGACTGGTGGGGGAGGAGCAGGTGGCCCCAGTGGTTGCTTGGAAGTGACTTACATGCTTGCTTTCAAATTTTATTCAGGACAACACAGAAGGAAGTTGATCCCCCTTTGCTACTTTTCTGGAACTTTCTCCTGGTCAGCAACTGGAATCGCACAACCAAGTCCTTGATGAAGCCAGACCCTGGTTTGTCCCCTCCAAGCCCTGCGGTCCAAGCCCTGTGGTTTCCATCAGGCCATTCCCACCCACAGCTTACTCCAGTTCACTCCAAATCTTCATGGACACAAGCAGAGAGCATTTCCTAGTGATTTAAAATGACTTCTGTGCCACCAAAGAGTATTGTTAAGTTTTACTTTTAATGGGTGAATGTCCCTCTACCCAGATGTCCTTGGAACAGGGAGACAAAAAGAAGAACTTGCTAGATCAGAAGGCCTGAGATCTGGTCCGGATTATGTCGTGTTGTTGCTGTCTGACTTTCCAGTTTCCTGTCTTGAATTTTCTTAACTGCCCAGAAGTCAAATGGAGACCGGTAGCCAACCAACCCTTGTCTGCTACCTTCCTCCTTCCTTGTATCGTCACACTACAGTGGAAGCCAAGGGCCCCTAGGTGGCGCAGTTTCCTAGGCTCAGTCCCCATGAGCAACTGCTAAAGGAGGCTAGAAGATTTGGGGGAAATGGAGGGCCAAAGATGATCCAGAGATGAATCAAATGGGAGATTGGGGCAAAACCCCTAAGCCAGAGATCCTTGCTGCTCCTTCACTGGGCCCTGTGGGAGTTGGTGGCACAGGGCGCCTCTGCCACTATGGCTATCAGGTCCTGCTGGGGGACCCTAGAGGCTATAGCCCTTACAGGCAAGGTGAATGTCTTAGGATAGATATGAACCAGTACTCATTCTCTTTCATAGATGAAGATGCTGAAGACAGGATGAAGGGCTTGCCTGGTCACCTGGGGAGCCAGAGACACAATGGCTGTCTAGCTGGCCTCTGCTGAGGAAGGGCTCCGTAGCAGGCAGGGTCTTGGGTTCAAAATGTGGGGTAGCATCCCTTGATTTGCCCATTTCTCTTAGCTGGTGGCCTCCCTTCACCATTGATCTCTTCTTAGGCTTACTCTCTTTCCGTCACAGCCATGGCTGTTGCCAGGAAATCCTGGGAGAGGAGTTGTTTGCTCCTTTTATGCAGAGCTGTGTCTCAGGGTAGTTTTAGGAGATTGGGTGAAGGTTGGGAGACTTTGGGTGTTGCTTGCTCCCTCTGGCTTTCTTTCTCCTTATAGATAAGAGAGAGTTCAGGGAGAAGGAGTTGGGCTAGATACTGCCAAGGTCACTGTCTAGTTTGAACCTTCTGAGTTGTCCTTGAAACTCCCCTATGTCTATCAACAAGCAGGAGAAGGCAGGCAGGGCTCTGCTTCACTCACTTAAGAGGAATGAGGGGTGTGGAATAGGTGCTGTGTCATCCTGTTTCTGACATCTGGCTTGGCACAGATGACAGGCAGCCACCAAGGCCAGAGTCCTCCTCTCTGAGCTTCCATGATGACCACCTTGTTTAGAGAGATGCAAACCTACCTCTCCAGAGGAAGCCGTGCAACCCTTGCTTGCTTGCATGAGCCACCAGGAAAGAAGCCCTCCCCTCTACCTCTGCAGGCATCCTTCTTGGGTTCCATTACTAACTCTCTGACCCTCTGACCCTCTGACCTTGGGCTTTTTCCAAAATCAAACCCTAAGGAAGAAAACGGTTGCCACTGTAGAAATTCAGAGAACAGTGCTAGAGGAGAGAGATGTGAGGGTGGAAAGGAAAGAGTAACCACTTCTCTTCAATCAGCCATGTGCTCGCTACTCTATGTTCCTCTCTGTATAGTAACTCACAGCTTGCTGTCAACCGCAGATGAACTTCTGTGCTCTCTTGCTCTCTGAAGATGAGTCTCAGGGGATCACATTGTGCAACTGTGAGTGTTCCATAGGCCACTCTTGTCCCCCTGGAACATAAGAACCAGGGAGACATAACAGGGCATGGGCCAAGAGAGCTAATAAATTGTGGTAACTCACTCTTTCCAAATGATAATCAAATCAATGTCTGATTTCATTCCCAGATCAGTCAATAGTCAGATGAGGAAACCAAAGCTCACACAAACCAGGGGCTTGCCTACTTGTGGTCACATGGTAGCTTGGTTGGCTTTGAAGCAAGTCTTTGATCCCAAAGTCTAGGCAGTCCATAGAGAAATCGACTTCTCTGACAAGCTAGGTTTCTCTTGCATTCATTTCTTCATCTTGTGGCAATGAGGGGGTTAAGAGTAGGTCAGTGGTTCTCAACCTTCCTAATGCTGCACCTCTTTAATTCAGTTCAGGTTGTGGTGACCCACAGCCACAAAATTATTTAGTTGTTACTTCATAACTGTAATTTTGCTAGTGTTGTGAACAGTGATATATTTGATATGTAGAATATCTGATATGTGACCACTATGGGGATGACAATACACAGGTTGAGAGCCATGGGTCAGCTGCATCGGTAACCAGCTTAGCTGCATCGGTCACCAGCTTAGCTGTATCGGTCACCAGCGCTTCCCAGACTCCTTACTAAGAGACAGGAAGTAACACTCAGTGAAACCAGAAAACCAGTAACTTGAGTTTTTTTCCTCAAGTTTACTAAAAAGAACATTTTGTGGACTGCGTATGTAGCTCAATTGGTAGAGTGCTTGGCTATCATCCAATAAGACTTGGGTTCAATCCCCAACTAGGCACGATGATGCATGTTTCTAATCCTAGCACTTTGGGAGTTGAAGAATCAGAAGTTCAAGGTCGTCTTTGGCTACATAGCAAGTTTGAAGCCAGCCTGGGCTACGTGAGATATTGTCTCAAAAGAGAACATTTTACCTTCCAAAATGTAGAAGGATGTACTTTTAGCATAAAGTAAAGAGAGAAAACCAATGATGTCTAAGAAAGAAATTCCTTTTTTCAAAGCATATCTAACATAACACCTTGATGAGCCATTGTGTTTGTAGTAAACACTTGATACCTGGGCCTGGCTGAAGTGAGCAAGAGGCAGACAAAACCAGAATAATTTTTTTAACAGACTTAATTAGTAGTGGGGGACTTGGTTGGATGAGCCAGTAGATAATTTAGAAACAGAACTGTAAGAGACCCAAAGACTATCTGCAAACAATGGAAGCCAGAGAATGAATGACCCAAGGGTTTTAGGGGAAACTATGGCCAGTAGCTAGCTTTGATTGGCAGGTGTCTTTTCCAGCACCTGCTGATCCAAGGGATGTTTGTGAGCCCTCTCTGGATGCAGCTTTGGCTGTGCAAGCTGTCAGACCTCACTTTGAGACCCAGCTCTGTCACTTAGAGGTCATAGGCACTGTGCAAGGTCTGATTTCCTTTTCTGTGAAACAGATCTGACCTTCCTGGTGGGAGGCTGACAGAGGAAGTAAGTGGGATGGAGGACCCAGTACAGCACCCAGTGCTCAAACCCTCAATAAACAGCTACTCAGCACAGCACCTAGTTAGTGCTCAAACCTTCAGTAAACAGCTACTCAGCTGCCGCTTACGATTAGGCAGAATTATTTGGAGATTCACTGTGGCAAGCATGTAGGAGGGTTTTGTTTGAAGAGGGGGTAAGTTTTGCTGCTGTTAAATCCAGCACAGGATCTGACAGTATATCATCTGGGGGGGGGG